CACATTGAACTAAGAAGTAAGATCAAGGCTCTCTTGAATGAAATTGTACCATCCCACGGTGCTGTCCGCAGGAAATTGCTTGGGACACATCAGCTTTTGCACCAGTAGTTGGCATGTCCGTTTATTTTGACAATTTTCTGTATTTGTTATTACATTACTGCAAGCATATCAATTGTTCCAGGTTTAATTTGTGTGTATTTCTTTGGAGAAGGCAGTTGCACCTGTGTACTTCCTGACAGAACTTTTTATTTCTTGTCATGTAATCACAAATAAAGGTTTTGTTGTTTAATTCCACTCGGCCTATCATTCTGTCCACTACAGGGCTCGAAGTTTATCGGATATGCATACATCCACGTTTATTTCACTTTCACGTTGTATGGACCTGGCTCTTTTAGAAAAGAAACTCATCATATGCATGTACACAGCATAAAAAAAGGAACTCCAGATCTGCAAATTACAAGTTATACACAACGTCACATTTTCAGGAACCATACAAAACAAGCACGGAACTTAGCAGAGTAACAGACATTGAAACATTTATGTACACGAAATAGGACAAGGATGAACAAAAATAAAATTACAATGTTCCTTAGCCATCCGTTTCTGAAACTGCAAAAGTTGTTAAAGGGGCACTGAAGTCGATTTTAGAAAAGAAACTCATCATATGCATGTACACAGCATAAAAAAAGGAACTCCAGATCTGCAAATTACAAGTTATACACAACGTCACATTTTCAGGAACCATACAAAACAAGCACGGAACTTAGCAGAGTAACAGACATTGAAACATTTATGTACACGAAATAGGACAAGGATGAACAAAAATAAAATTACAATGTTCCTTAGCCATCCGTTTCTGAAACTGCAAAAGTTGTTAAAGGGGCACTGAAGTCGATTTTAGAAAAGAAACTCATCATATGCATGTACACAGCATAAAAAAAGGAACTCCAGATCTGCAAATTACAAGTGATACACAACGTCACATTTTCAGGAACCATACAAAACAAGCACGGAACTTAGCAGCGTAACAGACATTGAAACATTTATGTACACGAAATAGGACAAGGATGAACAAAAATAAAATTACAATGTTCCTTAGCCATCCGTTTCTGAAACTGCAAAAGTTGTTAAAGGGGCACTGAAGTCGATTTTAGAAAAGAAACTCATCATATGCATGTACACAGCATAAAAAAAGGAACTCCAGATCTGCAAATTACAAGTTATACACAACGTCACATTTTCAGGAACCATACAAAACAAGCACGGAACTTAGCAGAGTAACAGACATTGAAACATTTATGTACACGAAATAGGACAAGGATGAACAAAAATAAAATTACAATGTTCCTTAGCCATCCGTTTCTGAAACTGCAAAAGTTGTTAAAGGGGCACTGAAGTCGATTTTAGAAAAGAAACTCATCATATGCATGTACAGAGCATAAAAAAAGGAACTCCAGATCTGCAAATTACAAGTGATACACAACGTCACATTTTCAAGAACCATACAAAACAAGCACGGAACTTAGCAGCGTAACAGACATTGAAACATTTATGTACACGAAATAGGACAAAGATGAACAAAAATAAAATTACAATGTTCCTTAGCCATCCGTTTCTGAAATTGCGGGAAGTTGTTAAGGGGGCACTGAAGTCGATTCTGAGATCGTCCTTTTGTGGTGACAACTCAACCTAGATGCTCTTAAGCGCCCAAATAATCCCTAAATTACCATTGTGCATAGCCGATTAACTTGTTAAAAACATATTAAAAGATTGTGACACGGCCTTTTTCGTGAGAGTTTCTTACAAGTGAAGTGGTCGGCAAAGGGCGCTTGTTAGCAAATTGCAAGCTATGGCTGCGCCCGCGGTGAAAAAGTGGAGTCTTATCTGAATGTGTACCTATCCGACTCTTTTCAAAACGAGTTATAATAAAATCGTTCGGAATCTGCACGTATCGTAGGACTTTCATTGGTCTAGAAATTGAAAAAAATAGTCCGCAGTTTTTCTATTGCCCCGAGGTGGATATCCTGTTTTGTAATCTAGAATTTTATGTATGTATAACTAACACCTTTTCAACAATATATCAAAAGCAATATTTTATAAAAACCACTTCAGTGCCCCTTCAGCACCAGATTATTCAACCTATTACATTAGCTCCGGTACGACATGATCGACCCAGAATGATCGTGCCTTCTCCAGAACAGGAGCATAAAGTCCCCTGTTAATGGGTACGACTATTAGCTCGTAGTCATTTGGAGTCCACACAAAGAAGTGTGCAGATTCTTTTCGGCAAACATGCAGTTGCGTCTGCACCTGCATGAAATGCTGATGCGACTCTTTCAGTTGCAAGTCAGCGGTGAGGCACTCATAGTCCTTGGCTTGAGAGTCATCATGGCGCAGTGTCCACGGGCACTTGACTTCCAATGTCCCTACCCCATGACAGCTGCACGTCCAGATCCCGTCGGGGGACGCGCCAAGGAAGTTATCCTAGTAAAACCGCCAAATAGAAAAAAAAAGCATAGTGATAATAACAGCCCTAGTATGATATAAGGGTTGAATGTTATGCCCTTTATGCAGGCATACTGACGCAATTGTAACACGAGCCTGCTCACATGCAATGCTGCTGAGCCAGGAGGTTCTTTTCTCCAATGTGATTTTTTCAAGCATGATGTTACAGCATTGTGATCGGCTTGAACACTGCGCAAGCACTTTATTTGGGCCCCCAGTCCACAAAAGGGATTTTACAGTAATTTTTTTTTTTCAATCTCCTTTCATAAAAGGGTATAAAGTGCTGAAGAAACTTGGACCGAGACAAAGAAAGCAATGGCACAGGGCGCACTCTCAACTGAAGTACGTTGGAAAATGTACACGCTATTATTCCCTAGGAAAATGCACAGTCATCAATCATTCTCTGCCCACCTCGCGTTTTAAGTACTCCTACTCATCCGTCGATGGGGCCAAAGACGTTTCGCTGACGCACTTGTTTCCTCTAGCCCTAATCTCAAAAACCTTGTGTAGCTCGCGTGAAACCTTGTTCTTGTATTTTGCCAAAATTTTTGTGCTGTTGAATGATGGGGCGCAAGGGCATCTGCTGCAATGAACGGCGAGATGCCCTGACGGTGTCGTCCTCGTGGAAGCTGCGTGTTCGCGGGCCCGATCATTAACATAGCGGCCTGTTTGCCCTACATAACTTAACCCACACGTCATCTGAATCTCATGCACGACCCCAGTCGTGCAATCTGTGTGCTTATTCCTATGCCTTGTGCTGCACGGGTCTATGATCGGCGGGGGATTATTGATTCTTCGGCATAATCGCGACATCTTGTTAGGCGCTGAAAACACAACCGGGACATTGTAACGCTGAGCCACCTTCTTAAGAATGTGTGCGACGCCGTGCATATATAGAATAACCACCGGCCATTGAAGTGTTATGTCACAGGATGGTTTCTGTGATGTCTTAAATTTCCTTATCAGGCTCCTGGCTACCTCGACCGATGAGCTCATTGGGAATCCCCCCTCCGCAATCGGTCTACCCGTCTCACAAAGCTACCTTGTGCGCTGCGTAGACAGGACTTCTTAAGCGACGCTTCTAAACACGAGCTCGCAATATCTCTCTTTCACGAGCTTTGAATGACAGGAGTCGTAAAAAAGAATCCCCTTCTTTGACCTATGTGCATACGTCCAGCAAATGTGCTCCCCTAAAAAACTAAGCTTGAGGTCGAGGAATTGCATTATTCTATCTTTAGGTATTTCATGAGTGAAAGACAATCCGTGGCAACATGATTTAATTACCTTTAGCACCTCCCCACAACTAGAGGGACCGATTGTGGGTGCGAGGATGAGGAAATCATCAACGTAGTTAGATACCTTGTATCTGCCATCACTCTTTATCAATTTCTCCGAAATAGCCTTTCTGCGCACACCTAAAAAAATATTGCACAAAACAGGAGCAACACTGGCACCGATGCTAATTCCCTTCTTCTGCACATAAATTCCCCCATCAAATGGTGGTTATTCCATATATGCACGGCGTCGCACGCAATTTTAAGAAGGAGGCTCAGCGATACAATGTCTCGGCTCTGTTTTCAGCGCCTAACAAGATGTCGCGATTATGCCGAAGAATCAATAATCCCTAGCCGTTCATAGACCCGTGCAACACTAGACATGGGGACAAGTACACAGAGTGCACGACTGGCAGCGTGTATAAGATCCCGATGACGTGTGGGTTAAGCTATGTAGTGCAAATATGTGTGTTAATGATCAAGCTCGCGAACACGCAGCTTCCACGAGGACGAAACCATCACGGCATCTCGCTGCTCATTGCAGCAGATGCCCTTGCGCCCCGTCATTCAACAGCACAAAGATTTTGGCAAAATACAAAAACAAGGTGTCACACAAACTACACAAGGCTTTTGAGATTAGGGCTAGGGGAAACAAGTGCGTCAGGGAACAGTCTTTGGCCCCATCTATGGATGAGTAGGAGTACTTAAAACGTGAGCTGCGCAGGGATTGATTGATGACTGTGCATTCCTGTTGGGAGTAATAGCGTGTACTTTTTCGAATAAACTTCAGTTGAGAGTGCGCCCCATGCCGTTTTCTTCGCGTCTCGGTACATGTTTCTACGGCGCTTTATACCCTTTGCAATGTATTAACTGGCCTATCTAAGCACATTATTCCTTTCAGAAGACCAAAACATGGAAAGTTTTGCATTTAATCAGTTTGGTTCTAAGCAACTGCAATGAGCAAAGGACTGGTTTGAGAGAGCCCTCTCCCAAACCAATTGAAAGAGGGTGAGCCCAGGCTTTTGTCTCTCTTTCCTGCGATGCGGTTTTTTGTCACAACAAAAGTCGGGAGTCGTGCATGTTTTTCAATTCCGGTGTGGACGCCCCTTCAAGGCTCATTCATGCACTTGTAACCGAGTAGGACGAAGAGAGACAAGACCGGTTTTTAAGCCTCTTGCGACGTCTTGGGACCGCATGTGCTGCTGCAGAGCTGGTCCTAAGACGTCGCAAGAGGCTTAAAAACCGGCTGTGTCTCTCGGTCGTTCTCGGTTACAAGTGTGTGAACGAGCCTTAACATACAACAGTTACAACTCCTTGTGAGGCTGTGAAATGGAACAAGGGAAGAGTGCTTCAGTTATTGGCACCAGCTGATTAAGATATAAATTAAGAAAGTTGTGCAAGCTTTGTCTGTCCTTGCACACTCAAACACGAAGAGAAGAATAATGGCAGCAGGTACAACCTTCTTATCGATCACGAACCCAACACTGCAAAGCCTGAAGTCGCTGTGGCAAGTCTCCATGAACTTCTGATATGTCTCCTTGGCTTCGGGCTCTTTCTCGACACCCCAGCGGATGGCCTCGGTGGTCAGTGGCGGGGTTCTTAGTAGAACGAGGTCGAGGATGGCCTTTGGGGATGTAGTGTCTCGCATTGTGCGCACCTGTAAAGGGCACATGCTTGGCATGCTGGCACTTACGAAAATTGAGCGAATGTCATTAGTTCACAAACCTTGTTGATGATGGAAGCAGTTATTCTGCCGTAGCGAACCTCCCGCCACATAAGTGTTGTCGCCTGCCGTCTCGTGCTCTTTTCTATCCTCTCAATTTCTCTCATGGGAACAAACATGTCTTGTGGGAGCGACATCCTTGTTGATCTTGTTCTCCTGACTTTCCTTAAAAATGAAATATTTACAAAAATTAGAACACTATGAAGATAGGCGACGTCAGAGCCGTATATTGGGAGAGTTAGGCCAGTGGGTGTGGCAACGAAGGCGCCGGAGAGGAGAAAAGTGAAGGGAAGGGAGGAGGGTGCAGAAAGACAAGAGAGAAAGAAGGGAGCAAAGAGGAGACGACTGCCATTTTGACGCAATGCAGTGGGCGCCGAGCCCTGTTGAGGTTACGCGTTGTCTGCTACGGGCTTATTTCTTTTTCGCCGGAAGCAAAGTTTGCGTTCAAATGCAAAGAAACTTAATTCGTTAGCTTATTAAGCCACCGAGGAATAACAATATTTTTTTGCATAGCCTGCCAAATAAAAGGAAAGAAGCGAAATTTGGATGTCAATCCCATGCATTTTGCCGGACGAATGAGTGAAAATGGCAGCCCTCCCCGCTCAGCTGGGAGCAGCTGAGAGTTCACGCACATGTGCTCACGCCCCTCGCTCAGCGCCGCGGGCTGATTGGCTCACTCGGAAGGGGGGCGTCCAGCAGCAAGATCATAGACTGGCCAAAGTCTCCCCATACACGGCTCTGGGCGACGTTTGTCACATTCTTGAGACGATACATTCACAATTTTGTTTCTACCCCTAGCATTTCTGCAGAAGCAATGAGCATTCCTGCGTCAATGAACAAGGCTCGTGCAACTTAAATGTTCTGGACATGTTCTTCCCAGGGGATGCACGACAGTAAAGGAGATAGCGCACTGACTTTTACTACTTATAGAAAGATTGAAGAGAAGCCCATCGAAGTAACGAGGTGTACAGCACCCGCAGTCATATGTGCCCACTTCCGACAAGAGATTTCTGGTGAAAGCACAACTGCGCTTCACTGGTAATCTGGTAGTCTCTTGCCCCACAACACATTGCTATAACCTTGATTTGTTTTAAAAATTCGGAGCTGATTAATTGCTTAGCCCCATGTTATGAATTAAAGAAACTTGCTGCCAAAGCACCAAAAAAACCTGCATTTTGTGTAAGGCACGTCACACTATTAGGTGCTGAAGAAAACCAGCCCTCGTCTTTAAGTCCTTATTTTGACCTCTTTTGATCATGTTCCGCCAACAACAAGTGGGTGGTCTCGACCACTCGATGACCATGCCGCCAGTGCGCCCTTCGGAATGATTATGGAGCTGCCCAGGTCCAGGCTAACCTACAACCAGACGCCCCAAGCACATCCATTTCCCGCAGGCTACTTAAGCCGGTTCAGACCAATGAATGGGAGCTCCCATAGGGGGAGGCTCTGGCTAAGCAGGAACTTTACTTTCTTTTTGCTGCATCTCCCCTCCCACGAATCTGCCTCATACGGCAGCATGGGCCTCACAGGCAGTTCCGTCAAATAAGGCAATACCAACCCTTTATTTTTTTTGGCTGACAGGGCAAAGCGTGTTGTCGTTTTCGAGTGCCAATAAACACATCGTTTACGAATTCAGTGTGTTGCTGCTGTCTCCTCTCCATAGGAGCCTTACGGCAGTCTTTGGATGAACTGGACCGTAGCAGTTTTAAATAGCGAGCTACGGAGTGGGATTTACCTAGCAGTGTCCAGCAGGTAAAGTAGAAACCCACAGGTTAAAGTATCAATGTGCCAAATTTAGTAACAGGAATGAGCATTAGCTTGCCTCAAAAATGTGTAGGACTGTTCGTCCTCTGAGGCGGAGTCGGTGTCCTCGTCGTCCATCTTTGGGATGGACCTCAGGACGACTGCTTGAGGGTTCAGTCGGTGAATCTCTTCGAAGAGGGCTTTGTCGGCGAGCTGGAAATCCCCGGACACATGGTTTGGTTCTTCGGGAAGCGTTCGGCTCGGCATTCCGGGCTTGCTGAGGTCCAGCTGGTGGACAGGGACCATGTCCTCCTGTGGTGTAGACATCCACATTTACATCGCCCTTTTTTTAAAAAAAAGGCCTGCATCTCAAGTTGTCAAAGCGTGGCAAAAGATTGTATGAATGCACATTGATTTTACACACCTCGCTGCAACTGAACTTTTGTTCCATCTAGAAACTTTTGATCGTAGCACATGGATCAAAAGGAATAAACTAGTGTCATAATTATTAAATATAGCCCTTCATATTTACCATTTATGCATGGATATGCACTGATGATCAAGGGTTCAATGGCACTACCACAGCAGAGAAAACAACAGTGGCCATCTAAACCTGCAACTACGGTAGGTACAATGAAGCTGAGCAATGGAGTTAAAGATTCATTGCAATATGTAGATAACAGATTGAACATGGACATGCTATAATGTGATCTCCACAGCTTGTTCGCTGCACTGATACCTTTGACTGCGAGACAGCCAGTGCTGTCACCAAAAAGCACAAGCATAATTTTTGTCACAATCCTGAAAAGCTCCCCGAATTATGCCCTCGGACACTGAAGACTGCTTGTTCTGGGCAAAGGATTAAGCATTGGGATTATTATTTAAGGACAATAATTACAATCCTGACATTTTGTTGGGTTGGCCTACATGATAATTCTCATAGCAAAATGCCTTTAACTTTAGCGTCACTGAGCACACATTTTAAGAGTTTGCGAATGCAGGATTCATGAATGCAGGTTGAATGCGGATACGAAAGTCCCTTTTCGTGCACGGCTTTACTTATGCAGGTAGCCAAAAGAAACGAAAGACAGCTGTAATTTAGTTACACAATCTGTCACATAGGGTTCCAGACACCAGGATCTAGAATAGTTAAAAATATTTGACAAGAGCTCATATCTACAATATGCACGAGTACTGTAACAGACCTTTCTTGCGACCGTCCTGGTCCATGCACACGGCTGAGAGGTACACGAGTCTTCCTGGGACACTCTGGCCGTGTATTCCACAAAGAACAAAAGTGCAGCTACATGACTGCAGACCTCACCCAGACTGCAAGGAAAGAGGTAAATAGTTAATCAGCTTTCATCTAAACGAGCAAATAATGCTTCTGGAAAATGCTGTGTTGCCGGTGCAGCTGTGAACGAACTTACCCCGCTTTACATGTGCAGTGGCCACAGTAAACTTGACCTGTCTTATGGTCCAGGCATACCCATGCGTCATGGGGTGGGCCAGTTGCCCTCTGCGATGGCTTGACATTCGCCCGCACAAAACACAACTCGTGCCTGTCAGGCTGCCACAGCCGGACGTCACGTACATGGCCTGGGCAAGAATACAAAACCAATACACCAGTTTATAGTTTGTGAAACGGTGACCACTCTCAACCAAATACCCTCTTAATTTTGACACCGTGGCGGTGGTTTTACAATGATCATCCTGTCCACGACATTTTATGTTTGAGAAGAATATCAAAACAGCAGCCTCAGAATTGCAAGTGGGTGGAAGGAATGTGACATCGGAATTTAGATGTGCATGCATGTGGCACAACACAAGAAATATGTGACATGAAAATAATGTTGTTTACTACTTGTTCATGTTGGTGTTCAACAACAATTTCTAATATGGTAGATGCCTCACACGAGCACAACGCGGCCACTAGTGGCTTCTATGACAGCCTATCAGTTGTTGGCAGAAAACGGGAGACACCGGCGATCGCATGTTCTGCTAGTCACTGGACAGTACACAGCACAGCTCTGCAATACGCAGTGAAGGCTATATTCCTGAGAACGAGACATTCTGCACGAGCAGTTAGACGTGTTTTGTAACGACTAGGCGTCTTTGCCGACTGGAGTTTTTACTGTACGCCACTTCTGAATGACGATTGTTCCAGGTACGCGTGGGCGTGATACACGCACATGGAATGAACATGAACGCAGGGTAAGCATTAGCACGTAAAACTCGAAGCTGTGTTACAAACGCGGTTTTTAACCACAGACATATGAACGACGAAATCAACAACCGACACGGGAAAAAGCTAGCTATCTTAGAGTGAGTATGTACAGCACCAACGAAACGTGGTTGCGGCGTTACGGATCTCGGAATGACCTACATGAATCCTCAACACCTTGCATTATTTGCTCTGTGGCGCAAATCATTCAAATTCAGTCCGTACTACGCTTGAAACATCGTCTCAACTCAGGCCTAAAACAGCTGGCTTCGGAAGGCGATGGAATGCAGCCCTGCTTACCTGACTCGAAGTAGTTGTACGCCTCCAGGGACTTGTACGCCTGCAATGTGTACGGCGTAAATCGGCTGGGCGTGAAAAGCAGATACACTGTTATGTTTATCATAGTAACGGGGGGCCACCGCCGACCCGTCAACGTCCATTCCGAGGCGTCCACGCGGTACGGATCGCCGTAGTCCACACCGTTCACACGCAGTTTCGCGTCATAACGGGCTCTGTCCACTTCGCTGAGGCCGCTGTAGTAGTCCGACATTGAAATCGGCACGTTGGAAAAGCAATACCAAGCGAAATACACGGCACAATGTGAAAAACAACAGCGTATACCAAGGGCTTGTTTACACAGGGACGCCGAGCTTTTTGCCCACCGGCCACCGCGCATGCGCCAGAGAAAGAGAGAAAGGGAAAAAAAGAGGGAGAGGGCGCGCCGGGTTGTTTGTAAACATGAGTTGGTGTATTGTAACCAGCTTCGTCCTGTTCTTGACTTTGCTGCAGATCCCGTGCAAGCATTCCGGAGCTCAAGGATTTCTACTGAGATACTTTTCAGCTGCAAGAGGACGCTGATGGAGATAATCCTTAACGCCGGTGTTACGATGGTAATTTCGCATTTTTTATCTTCGGATAAACAAGAGAGAGAGAGAAAGAGAGAGAAAGGTAAACAACCCACAAAAACAGTCTCCGGAAAAAAAAAACGAAAAATTTCGAGTACAACGTGTTCCAAAGCGAGAGCAGCTCTGTGCTCGCGTAATTCGCTATAATTGTGACGTCTTTGTCTATTCTTCGTCCCCATCTGAGCACGATCTTCAAGATTTTCAGGCCATTTTCGCTTTCGATTTTGATTTTGTTTTCGTGCCTGATCCGTACTCCATCTACGATAACCCTCGTCACCGCACGACGTAACTGAAATTCCCGTTAATCGGGCCAGATAACGAAGTTTTCTTTGTCTAGCCATACGGCGATCAAGTTCGCCTGCTCGGATGGTCACGCGCATGCGCCGGCAAACCGGTGTGCCAACTACTGCCACGGAGTAAGATATATACAATGTCTTACACCGTGACTACAGACAATGCCAACTAGAAGATAAGGCCTGCGCGTGACGTCACTGTTAGTGGATCCCCGGCCCGCTTTAGGCGGCAAACACGGTGAAGAAATAGGCTTCCGGTCGGTGTCACTTTCAGCGTTCGTGAGTATGGCGCGTACTTACTCGCTTTCTGAAGCGTCGAACGTGCGCGTGCTGGGCTGTGGAAATCGCACACCGGGCTGTCATTTCGTAAACACTGGAATGATGTACACGAATAAACACTGAGGGAGGCAACGAGATGCGACCGCGCGGAGACGTCAGTGCAACAAGTTCTGATTGGACTAATTAGTAGGTAGACACAAAGCTAGCCTCCTTTGCGTCTACCCGCTATTTGAACGCTTTCAAACAGCGGGTAGAGAAAACGGTGGTAAAGACAAACACAGCTAGCATTGCGTCCATTCACTGATAATCATTGCCCCTAGTTTCCTGTCTCACAGGGGCAATACGTTTTATGAACGCGTTGAAGTGGAGAGATCTTTGGCACGCTGTTCAAGCCAGTGTTCGTCAAGGTCAGAGCAGACGTTCCTCGTGGGAAGAGCGCGCGCCCGGAAGGGGATACTTTTCCTTCTTTTGTTTCCTTTTCATCAGTTCTGCCGTATGGACGGCGGAGACGCTGTTGCCTGAAGCTATTCGGGTGCGCGCCGAGAGGACCTTATCTGGTCCATCGCGTCGAAGCGTTCCCTGTGCTGTGTCTCCTCACTCACATATATTTTACGACTGTTTGTTAGTTTAGCCTTGTGCTCCAGGGAATAAAACAAAGCCCACAAATGGCAAACAAAAAAAAAAAAACGTTTCCCGTTTGTATTTGATTTCGCTACGCAATCGTCTCCTTCCGCATAATAAAATTCGTCTGCTATGGCCATGTTGGTAGGAATAAGAGGAGGCGATATACCAGCTCAAACCAGCCGAACGATAAAATCCCAAGTGAAGGTGAAAGTCATTTTTGTGTTTCAGTCATTTTTCGTGCTTCCTTTTCCTTGGGCACTCTGCCAAACGATTGGTTAATGGCGCGAGTAGTGCCTGTGTGCAAAAAGGGTGACCGACTTACGTTAGGCCACTACCGGCCTATTTCTCTGACATGCACATCCTGTAAACTACTAGAACATATCATCGCGAACGAAATTACAGAGTTCCTGAACGCGAATAACATACTCTCGCCTCGTCAGCATGGATTTAGAAAGAGATTCTCTACGGTTACCCAGCTTGTTTCCGTTACAAGCGTGGGAAGAAAAGAACACACGTCTGAATCTGCTGACGGTCTGCACCACACCACTTCTTTTTCTTTTATTAGCATTGTTCTCTGCCACTATGCTTTCTGGTGGCGCTAACTGACTCTTAACAGTTTCCACTGTTCATGAATTTGCATCCATTCTAGACAGATCAGGCCAAGTAGATATTTTTCTTGACTTTAGCAAGGCCTTGGACTTGGTTCCCCACAGAATGCTAGTTAGCAAAGTCGAACGTGTAGGTCTTCATCCCTTTATTATTAGATAGGTATGTTCTTACTTACAGCGTCGCAAACAATTTGTCGAAATCAACTGTAGCTGCTCAGAGATATTAGACGTAACATCTGGAGTACCACAGGGAAGCCTTCTTGGTCCTTTGCTGTTATTATTATATAAACGACATAGTTTCCGCCCCACACCCGTCTGTAAACATACGTTAATTTGCAGATGATTGCCTGTTGTTTAAAGAAATACTTTCGCCTGACGATCAACAATTAATGAGCACAAGCCTCAATGACATTCAAAGTTGGTGCTGTACATGGGACATGGAGTTAAATTATTTGCAAATTTCAAATAAAAAAGCCATTCAACTTTGTGGTAGGGTTGCCTTGCTGCATGCCCATCCGGGAGGAACAACACGAAGCCGGGGTTTCCAAAACAAGAAACTACATTTATTAAAGTAACAGGAATGGATTGTTAGTATCAAGGTCAAAGTAAAACATTGCCGGAGCGTTCGAACTGCACGCCTCCGTGGCCACGGTCCGTCTCCCTCTCTCTGTGGGCGTGTGCCTTCTTTTATAGGCTTTTGTGCTTTTCTATACGTGCGCTATTGCGCGCCTCGGCCGTTGTCCAGTTTGGGCATTCGGCAGCGGCCTCTGGCCGTGGTGGGAGACTTGCTCCCACAACTTCCAATACAAACTAAATAACATTCCCATCCCTCAGGTTGATGACTACAAGTACCTCAGAGTGACCCTAAATAAGAACTTAAGGCCACGGTACCACTGAATGTGGCAGTTTAGGTACTTTTTGGCAGGTCATTACTCATCTCCTTTTAAATACTGTTTTGTGGGATCGATGTCATTCGAAATGCAATGCAATCTTCTTTCATTTGATATTATGTATGAGTTGGTTTTTATTGTACATGCGCATTTGTAGCGTTGCGAATATGATGGCGCGAACCCTCACTTGCTCCGCTAGTTCATGTTTTATGAACGATCCATTAAAGATAACACGGTTCCAATATAGCAGTTTTGTTAAGATGATGTCGGAGCAGAATGTAACGATACACTTTTTTGGTATTTGCACTACTTTGTTTTTTTCATCCCTCCAAATATTGCCCTAAAATTGACATTTTTCAGCACGAATATGGTTTTAATGACAAGCGCTAGGACAATGATATTAGCTACAGATGTAGTGCTTATAATTGCAGAAAAAAATTTAATGTTGTGTAA